CCTCTTCCTCCCCTGTCTCCTCCTCTTTCTCCTCCTCCTCCTCCTCCTCTTCCTCCTCCTCCTTCTCCTCTTCTTCTTCTTTGTGGCCAACTCAGTCCACCCTGGGGTGGGGCTGGCACAGCATGTGTTGTTGGCAATCAAACCTCAGTCCATGCACACTTGCCTAAGCTTGTCTAAGCCGGTGCTTTAGACTGCTGAGCTATCTCACCGGCCCCAGTCCTTCCTTCTTGATGCTCAAAGCAGTATAGAATAAAGATCAGTTTCAAAGTCTTTGCATATACTCTCATATCCTTCACAAGAAAAGAGGGATCCTCAGAGGTGCTAAACAACATGAAATATTAGCAGTAGAGCTAGGATTAGAAATTGTGTCTTGTGACTTTTTTCTATGACTTGAACAATAACATCACAGACTATGATGAAGGCTAAGGCTTTGGCTCTATTCTTGTTCTCTCTTTGCTTCCTGATCTCAGAACCTTGCATGCTACCATTACAAGAAGGAAACTGTAAGGAAAATTTGGATCGCTGGTATTTTGACTTTGAACAATATCAATGCAGACCCTTTGTATACAGCGGCTGCAGTGGGAATGCCAATAACTTCCCCAGCAAAGATACATGCAAGAAGTCCTGCGAGGAAGTTGGTAAGATTCTTATTCCTGCCAGGCTAGGGACCTCATCTGATTTGAAGTAGACAGTATGGCTATAGTGTCAGCATTTGAGGTTAAATTTTCTTGGTTCAAAGTGTAACTCTGTCATTCATGAACTGGGACACCTTGGGCAACTTGTCTGCCTTTAGGAGATTCAGTTTTCTTGTCTATAAAATGGGGATAATAATAGTGGCAATGCCTGAACACTGGGAGGTTGAAGAAGAAAGACTGCAAAATCAAGGCCAGTCTGCACAATTTAGTAGGACCCTGTCTCAAAATTTTAAAAAAATGAGAAAGGGTTGAGGATATAGCATAGTGTCAATACCTTATTACCAGCCTTTTTCAATTCCTGGTACTGAAAACAATAACTAGAGGGATAATAATGGTATTTACCTAATGCAGTCATGTCAAACAATGAGACATCTGGGTTGAGAAAAGAACAAATGAAAGAAGGGGAAAAAAGATATATTGAGGTACATATGCAGAATGTTTTTGATAATTGTACTGCCAATTTCTGTTGGTATTTTGAAAGGAGCAGTTACAGCTTAAAATATTCTTCATTTTCTTCTTTTGTTTTGAATTTCTTGCAAATTTTTTGTTATTGTTCTGTTTTTTTCTTTAGACTAATCTTGCATGTTTGTATCTGGTAATCTGAACATGTAATTTGAAGATAATATCATGCAATACAACCATCATTGAATTCCTATTATCTTGTTTAGTGAAATTTTGTATCATTTCTAATGCTGTTTTTTATCACTATTTTATATTGTTTTAAAAAATAAAAAATAAAGAAGTACAAAGTAAAAGCAACAACAATAATGAGACAGTACATCATATAAAGTGTTAATACATTTTAGTTAGTGGGATTGACAGCTAGGTGTATCTGTTTGGGCGAAAATGTTTCCTTTTCACATCAACCTGTGAAGCATCACCCTGAGGACTTGCCAAAGAATAAGCATAGACAGGGCAGCCCTGAACTCCCCAAATGTAGACACTGTCAGGGCCAATACGATGGGGTGAAAGTGAAGATGATGGTATCCTTCAGTGTAATGAAGGGTTACTTACGAAAAGTTTCCAGTTTATCCTTCTTTATGGCTTACTTGGGTTACTAAAACAGCCTACTAAAAGGCCTCCCCATTTGTATCATTGCCTTCCTTTTATGATCCATTACCATCCCACTAGGCATAATGAATATTTCAAAACATGGGTCTAGTCATGTCACTTCTCTATGGTGAATACTTTAATGGCCTCATAGTTTATTCAAAGTCAAACCAAATCCACTAAAATGAATTACAATGATCCAAATTTCACATAATTATCCCTGTTTTATACATAAAGAAACTGAAGTAATTTTCTAAGTGACAGGCCGTGGACTTTAGATTGGGACTTCAGACTCCAAGTCCAACATTCTACCGTATTCCATGATACAGTGAAATGTTAATTCTACCACTACCTCCTAGAGATGAATGGGGTAGGGTGACTCACTATGCATGAAGATAGTCTAGCTTTAAAGAGAAGGAAAATCTGTTTGAAGCATGTTGTGACGGGATGGGGTTTGAAAGAATTCACATCTGCTCTTATTTTAGTCAAGAAAGGACAATGTCCACTCTTTCCCTCTGATAGTCGGATAGAATGTCCACCACGATGTAAGAGTGACATAGATTGCCTTGAGGAGGACAAATGTTGTGAGTCCACTTGTGGCTTTGTTTGTGCCAACACCTGGACAGGTAAGGACTAGGAGTCTACTTCACAGAGTCCACTGGGCATGTGTCAGTGGTGTGAGGACATCCCATGAAATGGGGAGATGGAAGTGTTTTGAGTCTCAGTTGTCCCTTGGCTTGACCTCTGAGGTATCTTGGAAAATTTTATCTTCTTAATGCCTAATCAGTGCACTCCTGTTGATCTTTTGACTTCTGGATACTAAGGCTGTTCTTCAAAGCCAGTTATGTATGGTACCACTCCATTCTTCCCAAAGAAAATTTACTTGTTCTGAATTCCACTCTTTTTAATTTTTTAAAAGAGAATAAAAGCAGTTTCAAAACAAGAGAACAGGAGAGTAACAATGGTTAATATATTACTTATTGTTATTTTTAAATTGGTTACTCAGAGTACAAGATATAGGCATTTAATTGTCCAAACAACATTAACAGAAACCTGTATTTTCTAAGAGAAATTAATAATATAACTATCTTAACTATCGTCTATCAATCAACCAATCAATCAATCATCTATCTATATATATATTTTAATTATCATCTATCAATCAATTATCTATCTATCTATCTATCTATCTATCTATCTATCTACTTGCTTTTCCTGTCTTTTCTCCTTTCCCCATCCCATTTTCTCTTTCCTTTTGAACATTTCTTCCCATTTTACAGTATCTATTGTACATTTTGGATCTCATTTACTCTTTCAGCTTCTCACACCACGTAGACAAAATAATGTTTGCACATGTGAATCTGATTTATTTCCCTTATGAGTATGGCCTCAAGTTACATTCATTTACCTATAAAGGTTTCCAGTTTGCCCTTCTTTATGTCTGTGTAGTACTCCATGTATTAAAAGACCACATTTTTATCTATTTTTTATATTAATTTTATTGAGAAAGAAGTAGCAATGTGACAGTTTCAAAACAGGTTAGTAGGACAGTTACAATAATTAATACAGTGCATGTTGTTGTCTTTGTAGTAGTTATTCATAGTACAATATGCAGATATCATATCTTGTCTAAACACTATCAGTTCAAAACTTTCTTCTCATTGAACTAAGAGAAAGTAGCTGTATATGTATGCTATTTTGTATATACAGAATGGTATATACTTTTTTTCACTACAAAATGGTCCTTCATTTATATACCCGTTTCTTGTTTACTTTTGTCAGAGATGGGTATTCCATTGCCATTCATATATTGTAGGTGCATGAATTAGCAGAGTAATCCAATATAGTCCAGTAGTTTATAATAGTAGTGGGTTATCCTCACAACTGGCAATGTCAGAAGTTGTTGACTTGAGCCTTTTACAGCTCAGCATATTAATATGACCTAACTTTTTATACCTCATTTTTATAATTTTCTGCTGCATGGTTAAGACAAAGATAAAGCAAAAGCTATATAACAAGAAATGTAACTTTTGTATCTGACAAGTTCAGTCAAATCCCCTCAGGATTTACCCTGAAACCCTGTACAGCGGTTTGTAGATCGTATGTCAATGTCAGCCACGTAGATGGGTCACAGCCATTGCTTGACCAATTTGCTCTCTGTGAAAGCCTGAGAGATTGTTTTCTCTCCATGTGACTCTCCTTAGGTGCACTCTACATCATCAATCATTTTCCTCTGTGGCTCCCTAATCTCCTTGATCAGAAGATTTGGGACACCACATTATCCATTCTTTAATGACATGTAAAATGACAATGTCCACTGATTCTTAGCCATTAGGTATAGCCTTAATAATATATATTCTATAGCATGATGGAGGAAAGATTACTGGAAAATGGTTTGGATATAGAATCCAACTCTCTAGCTTCTCTGGCTGGAATCATAAATTTCCTCATGTCGTCCCAGGGGCTGTGAGCATTTTAAAGTATAGCACAGTATGTTACAGAGTCAAAGGTGTGTCAACTGGCTTCAGCTTTTCCACTGACTTTCTGTGTAGTTTTGGGAAAAATACTTTTCCCTAGATGATCCTACATTTTGTCAAACAAGGAAGCTTTGAATGCTCTCAAATACTATTTCCACCTCTGGTGGATTACAACTGTAATCCAGTAATTGTGTAGTGGCAGGCAGGAACCCTGTTGAATTGCTATAAATCTAGGATAGCATAGGTGGTCTTTTGTTTGTTTGTTGATACCCCTTAACTTAGTAGCCAAGGAGAGTTGACTCTCAAGTTCCTCTTGTTACTGTTGGGGAAAGGAAAGAGACTCACTAAGTGAAGCCCTGTTTGAGTTTCCCAAGATTCTCCAAGTCTGTTTCAAGTATTTAAAAGTCAAGTGTCTTATCTTGCCTCATAAAGTCAAAGCAGGTATTTGCCCTGTTGGAAAGAAATGTACCAAGATTAATAAACCAGAGTGCCTGAAGGATGCTGATTGTCCACTGAAAGAGAAATGTTGTCCATCTTGTGGGCTGAAGTGCCTGCAACCCCAAAGCTCAACAGTAAGTGGAAAATATTAGCATAAAAATCACTGAGTAGTAGCATAATAAAAAAAAAATCTATCAGTTTTCTTTGTGTTATGTCTAACTACCTTGCCAAAGAGTTTTTCTGATCATGCAAATATTAATGGGGTTATTGTGATTTTATCTATCAATAATAATAGTAAATTTGGGTCTTGTTTTTTTTCCAACCTCACTACTGCCTCCTTATCTTTTTCTGTTTTGTAGAATGTCTGTAAGAACGTTGAAAATAAAGGCAGTAAGGGCTTGGTGGTAAAGCTTAGTGGTAAAGCACGTGGTTAGCATGTACAAGGCCCTCATTTCAATCCTAGTACTAAAAAATAAAATTAAAAACAAAGGCAATACCATAAATTCATGTCTTGTTCCTTATTTAAAATTCAGTAGATCCTCATGACAAACAGAAATGTTGTTGGATTTGGGATAAGTTTTATTGCCCTGGCTATTTCCTTTTAAAGGTAACTTTCTATCAATCTATTGCTTCTACTAGAAATGAATGCCGGATTTAATCAAATATCTTTTAAGCATCTAATAATATAATGATGTTTCTAATTTGTTGACACAATAACTTGTATTATTTAATGTCATGTGTTGAACCATTTTATATTTTCAGGATAACATTGATCTATTTGTTATTAATACATCACGGGTCTTTTAGTACATGGCTTATTTAGAATTTTAACACATATAGTCAAAAGGAAAAGTAGTCCATATTTTTGTCATTTTTGTTCTTGTGGCCATAGCACTTCAAGATTTGACATGGGAAATTAAATGGGAAAAGTTTTTTTCTATGATCTGAAAATATAAAATAATACATCAAATTTCTGTTCTTTGAAGGCTATACAAAATTGCATTCTAAAGCATCTAAATTGGGTTCCTTCTTTCCAGACATGTATCTGCCCACCAACTGAATGCACCCAATCCCTGTCCCTCCACTGACATGCCCTTCTGTTTTCCTATCACCCGCTCCCTCATTTATTGATACACACTGTCTTTCTTATCAATTTTCTACTTTATATCTAACCTTTAATCTACCAACCTATTATTTACCTCTTTGCCTTTCATGTATTTACAGGCTTGCATGGGCACATTCTTTCACACATATCAGCATACTTATCTATTAATTCTACACCCATCTCCTTTCCATCCACCCACCAGCCCAGGTATTCACTGTCTAATCCAAAGAGCCTCCACCAGTAGACCTACCCTTCTCATCACTAACTGTTAGTGTTTGGATCTCATTTTTTATTTTTTATACTTTTTAATGTATGTAGTACATGGTTTACAGGGTTTCACTACACAGATCAGACTCATAGTGATCCTCCTATTTTCAGCCTCCTAAGTGCTGGGATTATGGGTGATTGCCACCATGCCCAGTCTCAGTCACTCTCTCAGCATGCCCTGGGGCAAGGCCTTCACAGCATGTCATGCTGGGGATCGAACCCCTGTCCCTGTGCTTTGCCTAAGCAGGCACTTTAGTTTGCTGAGCTATCTATCTGGCCATCCCTAGAGTTTGGATGTTAAATAGCCCCGGCTGGTGGGGCTATTAGAAGGTAGTGGATACTTTAGGAGTTAGAAGGAGTAGGTCATTGGGAGTGTGCCCTGAAGGATATATTGATCACAGCCTCTTCCTCTCTCTTTCTCAGCCATAATGAAGAAACTAGCTTTGATATCCCATTAACCACGGGCACTCTTCTGTGATGTTTTCCTTTGCCACATACTCAAAGCAATGGGACAAAGCAACGATGGGTTGAAATTGCTAAAGCCATGAAAGAAAATAAAACTTTCCTCCTTATAAGTTGACTATCTCTGGTATTTTTCACAGCAGCAGAAAGCTGACATGCTATACTGAATCCAACCTACTTCATCTAGTCATTCATCCACCCACCTATAATCCAAGCATTTATGCACACAAATATCCATGCTTGCCTTACCTCTTCCTGGTCATCCAGCCATACTCCCATTCCATCCCTTTATAAGCCACCTATCCATCCATATATCTGCTTATCTATCACATACCTACCAATTCCTCCAGCTACCTTGCTCATCCAGCAGTATACAGTATTTTTTTCTGGGTCCTTTTGTGTTCTAACCACTAGGCTCTAGTGCTTAGGCTAAATATGTTGTCATGTTCTAGCACGAGGTTAAATATATACTTAACGGACCTCAGAGCATAGTTGAGATAACAAATATGAAACCTAGAAATTCAGTTAGAAGCACTTGGAACAACACAAAAAATTCAGTGGCAGAAAATCAGCCCATGTAGTAGGTTTTGGTGTCATCAGCAGGCAGGCATTTATAGGTAGAAACCAGTGTGCCTTGGTTCTCTTTGGAGCCCTCATTCTTAGCCCATAATTTGTTCTTAATAGAAATAGACCTGACACAAAGGAAGGATCATGATCTTCAATGAGGATAGATAAATAAAACAGACAAAGATCTAGATGGGTCCTGAACCAGATTTCTCCAAGAAATTAGGTTTTAGAAAGGGCTCAAATAATGATTCATCTAAAGCCCAAAGACACTGTCTACTTAGACAGTGAGACCCACAGATAGGTCTGGAAATTAGATAAGAACAAATGTGACAGAAAAACTAGAAAGAGCTTTTGTTTATTTTCAAGAAATTGTAGAGAAAAATGCAGCTTTATTTGGAAGCCCTAAGAACCATTTTTCAATGGATCAACTGAACCTTCAGCCTCTCTCTGTATGAAAGATATGTCCATTCCTTTTAGATTCAAGTCTTCCTCTCTATTTTCTAATCCACCATAAAATATATATCCATACCAATCCAAAGGTTCCTTAGTGGCTTCTGGCAAGAACTTATATGCTCAGTTCCTTCTGATCTCTGATGCTGGGTGACATTTAGTCAGAGTTCTTACCTCTCTGAGTCTTATGAAATAAAGTGTTAGGGTCTGGTGGCTCCTAGACCAATTCCACCTAGCCATTCCAGGTTTTCACTCTCTCCTGGTTGGAATTTAGGAGAATATAGAGTAGATCAAGAGGGACAGGCTTGCTTAGGACAACTTGGTTACTGTTTAGACATTCTAGTCTATGGGCTCTTTTCTATTGATGGGATGAGGTTCTGAGGCTCTGTCTCTGATCTTAAATTTTAGGATCATCTATGAGATGTGATTGAAAAATATGGTGAATGTTTAAATTTAAAAAGTTTGTCACAGTAAAAGACATATTTCCACGAATGCTCCTCAAAATAATCCCCCTCACTTTGAGCACATCCCACTGTTCTCACTACTTTCTGAAGCAGTCCCACGAGTCCTCCTTTGTGCTTTCACTGTGTGGTCATAGCTGACTTGATGTCCTGAGACAATTCAAAACATTCACTTTTCATTGCTATTTTGACTTTGGGAAAGAGCAAGAAGGTGCACAGCTGTAGACCCAGTGGGTGAGGTGGGTGAGGACACGGTGTGATGCTTTCATCTGCTGCCTTTCTACTGGATCGCATTTGACAGCATTCACCATATTTGTTGTTTTATCTTACCTTGTAAAGATACTCATGAAAGAGAACTTTCCTAACTGCTTTAGAAAGTTGACAAGAACGATGGAATAAATGTGCTTGAAGTAAGGGGGAGTACTTTGAGCAGGAGTTAATGGTAATGTACCTTTTATTATAATAATTTTTAAATATGTAAACATTCACCCAGCAACCCGCTGATAACAGCTGGCTTTGTCTAGCTTCTGCCTATCACGTAAGAGAACTCACAGAGTGTCCAGCAGCAACATAACGCCGCATCTATTCAGAAAGGAAAATGCAAGTTCTAAACATGACATTTAACAACTGAGGAGCATCTTTTCCTGTACCAGCACTGATTGAGGGGCTGGTGTTTGTATCTGTGGATGTAAGAAAGCTGCCCAAGTTTTCCAGCACCCTCTTTCTAGTGGCACAGTTAGAATCCAGAAATGTTGCTGTCTTTTTGAAGTTGATTAGGTCTCAGTCTTTCAGATTGGTTTCTTCCTAGTTTCTCCTAGGACAACAAAGAGCTGGTTTCAGATTGCAGAGTTCCTCGTCAGCTAATGCTGATGTTCTCTCCTGCCCTTGAAGCAACACAATTGTAACACATGCTATCTGAAGACTTTGTTATCAGCCTGACTCCCCAGACCCTCCTGTGTGGCAACATTTTTGCTCTTTGGCCTTGGTCAAAGAACTGAGTGACCCAAAGAGAAGATAAAAGGGAGAACAGTGGGAAGAAACTGTGGGAGAGTGCAAGAGGAACAAGGGCACCATGGGAGACTTATAGCAAATTGTATAATTTGGTTGACCAGAAGCCTAGTCTAGTGCAGCTCAGAGATTACTGATTTTCAAATAAGAGATCCTCCTTCCTAACATGTGGTCTGTAGATGCCATTTAGTCCTATTTGTGACCTCAGGAACTTGGCGTTCCCAGTAAGAAAGGGGGTGGCTGGCTTTCCTCCTGTTCTCATATCCAAGGCTCTGCCTACTGAAAGAAGAGGTTGAGTCAAAGCAGCCAGACATTTCCACCTTCTGGAGCCACTAGACAGGCCAGCCCCTCTTCAGAATGGAGTCTTCTAGAATTCTTAGCATCTTCATGCTATCCATCATCTTTGTGAATGTGCAGGAAACTGTTCTCCGGTATTCTCCCGGTAAGTATTATTTCCAGTCTTGCCCTCAAGAAGTAAGTTTGCTAAGAGGAAAAGAACAAAGAACAATTCCTCAAATCTAGGTTGCTTTCCTCCATCTTAGCCCTGGTCATGGGATGGGAGAGAGGGAAATATTTAGAACCCTCTCTCTAGATGCAGCAATCCAGGCCTGTGCAATCCTTTTTCTTAGCCACTTTGACGTGGAGGGTCCTCTTGGGGAAGTGAAGAAGTCACAGAACCTAGCATTTATGGGATGGGGGGGCTATAGAAATCTGAGAAAATTAGGGGGCTTCCCAGAATCACACTAGAAAGACAGACTCTTGGGACGTCATATTTAGCTTCTAGCTTTTTCAAATGTAGTTCTATGACATGTCTCTGCATTCCTAAGAGTTCTTTGATTGGGGGATAAAGGCTAATATTTATTAGTCACTTAAAATTTAAGACACTAATAATTCACTACTGTATGGTAATAATAATAATAATAATAATAATAATAATTTTTCTGATGCTGATGGTTAAACACAAGGCCTTTACTCTGAGCTATATCTCTAAGCCATTTTTAATTTATATTTTGAGAGAAGGTCTCTCTAAGTCACTAAGTTGCCCAGGCTGAACTTGAGCATGTGCTTATCTTGCCTCAGCCTCCAAGAGTCCTGGGATTACAGGTCTACAGCACTAGGCTTGGCTAATAATAATAGTTTATAGTATTTGTTGAGCAACCAGGAAAAGAAATTTCTGAATAAAACTTAAAAACAAAATAAAGATGGTGCTGAGTCAGATTCAGTGGATTGAGTCCTGGTAGCCATGGCTTACAGACACATTATTTGAATTCTATATATTCCAGTTTCCTCATCTGAGAAATTAAGGCTCTTAATACAATTTACTGCATAGATTTGTGTTGGGAATTAAATAAGATGATGTATTTGTGGTGCTAAGAAGAGTGTGTGGCTTATAGTAAATATTTAACAAATGCTGGTTAGTAGAATTGTGCCTCTGTTACTATGACTAGAGCGTCACAGCCTTTGTCTCATTTCTTCCTCACAAGTCTGTAAGGCTAAAATGATCTCACAAATGAAACCATGTTTCAGAGAGGGCAGGTGCAAGACCAGTGTGAGAATTCAGAGCTTGCACTGACTAGTGCACTAGGAATCAATGTGCAATATTATCCCCTGGACGAACCCACAAATTCTGGCTCGTCAGCAAGGCCAAGAGAAGCAGATGATCCAAAGCCAGTTCCTGCACAGTGGACAATTTGCCCCCAGAGGGCATTTTTAATGTCTGGAGACATTTTTATTGTTACAATAGGGGAGGGGAAAGCCACTGGCTAATACAGGGTAAAGGTGAGGGGTGCTGCTCCATGTCCTCCGGTGCACAGCACAGTGTCTACTCCTATCAAAGCTTTACCCAGACCAAATGTCTCTAATAATATAGAAATTTTGCCCCAGAGGGGCTGAGGCTGGAAGTGAGTCAAGGCATGAAGCTCAGAAAGTTGGGAATGAGGGTCCAGGAGGGGTGATAGAATGGGCGGTGCTGGGAATGACTTGAAGGCACTATAGGAAAAGGCCTCCCTGAAGTGAGCACAGTGCAAAGAAACTTCCCTGACTCACTGGAACTGGGTCTAGAGAAAAATGGCACTGTTTCCTGCAAGGCTCATGGCTATAAGACTCTTCCTTCCCTAGGCAAATGCCCCAGAATCAGAGAACAATGTGAATTCAAAGAAAGGGACCTATGCACAAAGAGCAGCCAGTGCCAGGACAACATGAAATGCTGTGTCTTCAGCTGTGGAAGAAAGTGTTTAGACCTCCAGCAAGGTATTATTCAGAGCCTCTGACCTGTCATCTCACGCCCTCCCATTTGGCACACTAGGGTAGCATCCATCCCTGGATCATTGGGGCCGGCCTTGGGTAAGATTGCTGGATTTGGGAAACCTCTGCTCTGATATGGTATGTAACCCTGTAACGTTCTTATCCTGTCAGCTAATGCCTAGGCCCCAGTGTTCCCAAATGAATGATACAGGAGTGGGAATGAATCAGGTAGTTTCTTGGTGACTTTTCACTCTTGCAGTTTTCTGACAGCCCAGCTGGCTATTATTGTCCTAACACGTGCCAACATTGCTGCTGTTGAAAGTGATAAATCAATAAATTTATCTTTCTTGGTTGTCTGCTCTTGAGCTGCTTCCTCTCTGCCTATCCAGATTTAAGTTCCTGTTAGGAAAGCTGCCCCATCTGCTCCAGGATAGAGGGGCTTTCTTTTGCTGTTGCAGTCTTAACTCCATGCTAATCTTGAGTTCCAGAAAGTCTGTCAAAAATTCTGCATTTGCTTAGCAAATATTTGCTTCTGCCTTTGAGACCCATCATATGAGTCCATTTGGCATCTCTATATGAAGATGCAAAATTAAATACTAGAGGAAGGCTAAGTTTGTAAGGAATAAAAGGTTTGTTTCATTCAGAGTTTTGGAGTCTGAGTCTAAAGAGTATGGTATAGTCTCTGCCAAGTGCCCATGACAGTTGGTGGATTGCATGAGGGATGGAGAGATCATAGCTAACATAATCAAGGAGAGAAACTGAGATTCCATGGTCTTTCCCAAGGGCATTCCCTAAACTGACCTAAGGACCTATCACTGGGTGTCAGCTCTTACAGTGTACCACCACCTCTCCATACTGCAACCAAGGGGCCCAAACTGTCCAGTGCAAACCTGATTTGGGGAATTCACTGAAACCATATCCAAATGATAGCATCCATGGTAGGATTTGTCCTACTCTTTGTGGTATGGGAAGATGGAAAAGGCATCTGTAGAAAGAGAGTCTAGAGTTGAATTCAGAATGGAGGGTAATATTTGAGATAAAATGAGGGTGGGAGGGCTCACCAGACACAGGAAACAACATGCGCTAGGGCTCAGAGTCATGTGGTACAGAGTAGCCAGCAAATAGAAGGGAACATGGATTTGTGTAAGGAAAAGATCACCTAGACTAGAAAGGATAAAATGTGTCAGACCTGGTGGGTCAGATAAGAGAGTCTCACCTTGATCCTAGAACAAGGGAGAGCCATCAAAGTGGAGAATGTGACATGACCAAGTTTATACTATGCCTCCAGAGTATGAGAGGGAAGAGGAGCAAAGAAGGACTTTAAGAGGAAATACAGTGGTAACTTTAATTAAGGGGCTGCAAGATAGGGAAGAGTGGGATGTGTTTGAGGGGTAAATAGGAGGTGGGTACCCAGGATTTGTCAAAGGAGCAGAGTGGGCAGGCAAGAGACTCATGAGCCATTTGTATGTCTGCAGGTGAGGTACTCTGAATCTAGACTTCCTGAGTTCAAATCTGAACTTCGGTTTTGATATTGAACAAATTTACAACTTTTCTTTGCTGTGCCTTAATGTCTTCAGAGAATCAATCAATCAGTGTTAAAAGTTTGAGGATCAAATAAATTGATGTTCTTGAAGTATTTGAGCAATGTCTGGTACATAGTAGCTACTTGATATCTATTAACTTCATTTGTCTCTTTTTTCTTTGAGCTCCTAAATAGCAGAGACCATGCCTTTTCATTGTTCCTTAAAGCATTTTATTTATAGCAGGCATTAAAGGAATGACTTATTCAGTTCAGGATAGGACACCTCTTATTTTACCCTCAACATTCCATGAGGTTTCTTATGGTGCCAAGGCAAGATAAAATCAAACGTCATGTGTCTTCACTACAGGTAATCTAGAAAGAGACCAAAGTTCCATGTACAGACAGGATTAAGAAGCTAGACAGGAAATGCAGGGTTGATTCAGGCATATTCATGGGATGTAGAATTGAGCCAGAAAGGACACTGTGGAGGACCGGATAACCTGAAAAGGGTTTTAAAGGAAGAATAGCAGGGTCAGTAAGGAGGCTGAATTAAGTAGCTGCAGGTTACTTAAGAGTGGATGTATGGTGGTGCATGGAGGTGTGTGGTCACATGATGTGTTCATATTGCCAAAGCATGTAACTTCAGAGGGATGAGGCCAGAGCCATGAGTAGGAGCCAGAGGATGAAGGGACTTGTGCGACATAGGAGGACTCTCTCATGGAGTCAAGGTGGATATTATCTACCGAATGGCATGATCAATCTGACTTTCAGATCCATCAAAATCTCCTTGGAGGACTGTGTGATGAATGGATCAGAGGGTACAACACTGGAAGCAGGAAGCTCAATTAGATGCTAGCTCAACAGCCCAGGAGTGGATGCTGAGTCTGAAATGAAAGGGACTGGCAGAGACATGAGCTCTTAGGAGGTAGAAACCAACAAGTCTTAATTATGTAGCTGCAGAAACTTAACCTTCAATTGCTCTCATTTTGGAGGGGGATATATTCAGTTTTCAGGGTTACTGGAATAAAATAATATGGGTTGATGGCTTAAAATTAATGTGTTATACAGTTCAGCTGGCTAAAGCCTGAGATTAATGTGTCACCAGGGTTTACCCCTTCTGAAGATTATGAAGGAGAAACTGTTCCATGCTTTTCAATTAACTTTTGGTGGATAGCTAACAATCTTTGCTGCTTCTTGGCTTGCAGACACATCACTCTGATCTCTGCCTTCATGCTCATTTGGCATTCTCCCTGCATCTGTGTCTATTCAAACCTACCATTTTTATAAAGACACTAGTCATACTGGATTAGGGACATACCCCACTGAAATATGGTACCATCTTAACATGTTAGAAAGCCATGATCCAATCTCCAGGGATGCAGACATCCTCTCTTGGTGGGTGTCTCCTTGCAAATATGTGCATATGTTCATGGATCTGGGTTCCCACAATGTGAAAGGGAAAGGGAGCCTGTTGCAGTTTCTTTTAGGCTGTTTGCCAGAGGGAACGTTGATCTGGAGTAAGCACTGAAATCCCAACCCTGGGCTCTCTCTGCAGATGTGTGCAGTCTGCCCAAAGAAGCAGGCCTCTGCATGGCTGCTTTTCATCGCTGGTGGTACAATAAGGAAAATAACACCTGTGACCTCTTCATCTATGGTGGCTGCCAGGGGAACAATAACAACTTCCAAACCAAAAGCATCTGCCAGAGTTTCTGCCAAAGAAAAGTGAGTTTGGGGGCCCCTATCTCCCTTTTGAACCAGAATCATGCTAAAAAGATCTGAGTGTTGGTTGGTCCATTCCAGGATAGCCATTTGGTTGGCAGACCCAGTGTCATAGCACCAGTTCTATGCAGGAAGTAAGAATTCACCCTGCAGAAGGGAGATGATGACTTTTTGGGAACTGAGGTTGGGATGGAATGTGGAGATGAAGCAAAGCTAGCAAGTAGGATGGGGCATGGGAGGGGAGAAGTAAGGACGGCAAGACCTTAGAGACCCACCACAGGAGGATCACGTCCTGGCCAGCCAACTACTTGGGGTCATCAAATTTCTCATCACAGCTCTTTGGCAGCCATACAAGGTGTCTTGGTCACTTTTCTCTCATTGCTACAACAAAGTACCTGACACCCAAAAAGAAGGAAGGAAAGGTTTATTTAACTCACAGTTTGTGGAGGTTTCAGTCCATACACAACTGGCTCCAAGGCAGACTGGCACATGGCAGAAGGAAGCAGTTCATGGTGGTGGAAAAACAGCAAACAGTAAGAGCAAAAGGGAGGAGCAGCTGCAATAATGGCAACAGAGAGCAAGTCTGACTCCCTTATGTTGCACTGAAGCTGTCTGCCCCAGGCCAGGTGTAGCACTCACACCCATAATCCCAGCAGCCTTCACAGCACAACACTAGCAACATTCACACCCATAATCCTAGCACTAAATCATGAGTTCATCACAAAGCCTAGAAGTTTGCCCCATGAGGGCATGAGATTTTGAGGGGACAACTAGACACAAACCGTAACACAACCTCACTCAGTTTTCCTTCAAAGAACCTGACAGCCCCCTGCCCTGCCAAAGCAACCCACTTGAAACTTCATTCTACAAACAGATGTATAAACATAACTTCAAAAGCCAGTTTCATCTCATATCTATACTCTCAACAGGGTGTCTTCACACAAGGATAAGGACACACTGGAACAATCTCCTGTTCCAGACTCTGTGTGCGCCTGACTGATGATTCAGATGGGCTTCCACTGTTCTACTCCTGGCACTCCAAGAAGAGATTGGCTTTTCCCAACAGTGAGCCCTAGGACCTGCCTCCCACTCCTTCATCCCCACCTCCTTTCATGCATAATCTCTTCTGTTTGGATGTCATCTTTGTGTGTGCTCAGTACTTCATCTCCATATTCTATTCCCCTGGTTGTCCCTCAGAAGTTCCCATCTTTTCAATAAAGTACTTGACTTACTCCTATGACTTTGAAGCTGAGTAATTCATATCTGTATTGTATGTTACACTTTGTGGAAAAGAGGATTGATTGAAACTTTCATTTACACCTTCAGTAGAATGATGACAATCTGAACTTTGAGAGTTGAGCACTCTAGAGATGGTGTCCACTTTCTGTTTCTTTAAAAAATGTTAAAACTCATGAGACAAATGCCCATAAATGTTGCTTTTCTTTGGATGTCCTATAAATTGACCTTGGGACAGGATCCTGGGTTCAACTAGTTTATCTGGAGATACCCCAAGAAAGACATCCTAAGGAGTGGGTAAGTGAGTCAGGGAAGGGAAAGGAGTCAATTAGAAATGGTTACCAATGTGAGAAACTGCAGTGCAATCCTGCTGGGCACCCTTAGAGGACCATGTCAACCATGTCAAATGGACCCCCAAATTTTTATCTGATTCCACTGACCAAGAAGCTGAGGTATTAATCCAATGATTCCTTCCCCTTTGTTGGATACCTGGGGCATTCAATCCCTCACACTTTCAGACTGCTCCACATGCAATCTGAGAAAGCTCCAGGGGAGCCAGAGAAACTCACAGCAGAGAAGGGAAAAGTCTTCCACTAGAGGTAGGAGGCCACTAAGGCTCCCTGGATAATACTCAGCAGTAAAAAGGAATACAAGCTAGTTCATGCTACTCTATGAATGAGACCAAACATATGATGCTAAATGAAAGCCAGGCATGAATGAGTACAGTACTATGTGATTCTATTTACATGAATATTGGGAACAGACAAGTCTAGAGATACAGAAAGGACTATCAGTGGTTGCATAGGACTGTAGTAGGAGGGGGGGAGATAGAGAATGATGCTAATGGGTACAGGGTTTTCATTTGGAAGGATAAGACATATTTTGGAACTTATAGATATAGTATAAGTATACAACCTGGTGAATATATGAAAAATGTCACTGAATCATTCATGTCAAAACTGATGTGATTTGATATAAATTCTACCTCAAGTTTTAAAAAGTAGATTTTAAAATGTATTTTGGAATTATCTTTTGAAGCTTCAGTGTAATTGAAGTGAGCTGAGAACATCTTAGGGTGTGGCATAGCTCTCCCTAGCCCAGTCTGCTGCCTGCATGGCTCTGATTCACTCACCCTGACCTTACATCCACTCTCTCACTGATGTTTTTAGACCTAAATGGGCAACACAATTCAAGAACCATCAGTGGAACTTTGTTCAGGTTCTCTGCTGAGGCTGATTCTGAAACCATAACTGGGATTATTTCTCTCCTGTATCACCTATTCTAAATTGTAGCTGATAGGCTGGGGAGATAACTCAGTGGTCTGAGCAACTGCCTGGCAAGTGCAAGGACCCAGGTTCAATCCCTAGCACTGCATGCCATGCTGGTCCAGGATCACTGTGTTGACCACCAAACCAGGTGTGGTAGTGTACTTCTATACTCCCAGTGCTGTGGAGACTGAGAGACGAGGATCTCTGCAAGTCTGAGGTGCATAGCCAAGCCCCATACCAAATAAACATTTTTAAAAAATGTACCTGATGATAGAAACTCACTGTTTTCCCTGCTTTCAAAATGATATGACCAGAACAGGTACTCTCTGAAGGTTCAGTTAAACATGGAATCAATAAGTTTCCTCCTGTGCCCCACTAATTATCCTATTTTTTTTTTAACTCTTTGACAAAGGCTAAAGGATAAGAGTGTGCCAAAGAGGGTGGGAGAAGGATAAAAGGGGAAATAGAGAAGAGGAAAATAGGAGGGGAGGGGACGAAGACATAGAGAAACAAGAAGAGATAAAGAAACGGCAAGACAAATGAAATAGGAAAGTACATATGCCATGAGAGGGGTAAAATCAGGAAGACAAAAATAAGGATACTCTTACTTATTTTAGTTGAATTTATTAAGACATATATACAGTATATAGTGTTTGCATTGGCGGCGAGTTGGCACAGGTACATAGCACAGCTTACCTGATTCTTTTTTCATTCCCTTTCCACTCCCCTTCCACTCATCCCTTGATCCCTTTCCTTTTATTTTCTGTACATATTTCCAGCATGTAATGACTATGTTCCTCATGTGGAATTGGTGCATATACATAACACATCCCAGTTCCTCTTTTTTAATCCCATGTCCTTCCCTTCTTTCACCCTCTCTACATCTTTTGGTCTCTTTTCCCTCTGTCAACAATCTGTCTCCCTACTTTCTATTATCTATCTTTTTTTTTTTACTCTTTAACTCTGATTTTTCTCATGTAAGAGAAACCATGTGATATTTAAGCCTGTGTGTTTTATTTCACTTAATATTACAGCCTCAGGATGGATCTGTTTTTTACAACTTACTCAAGTCTGTTTTTTTTTTTTTCATGGCAAAGTGGTGCTCCATGGTATATAAATACCACATTTTCCTTATCTATTCCTCAGTTGATGGACATATAGACCACTGCCAAGATTCAGCTATTGAATTGTGTTGCTGTAAATATGGGCATGCATGCAGCTCTTAATATAATGTCTTTAACTCTTTGGGGAAGGTATATAGAAGAGAAAAACTTGGATCAAATGGAATTTTTAGTTTCAGATATTTGAAGAATCTTCATACTGATTTACATGACAATTGTACTGGTTTACAACTCCATCAAAAGTCTAGAAGGGTCCCATCCCAAAATCTCTCTAGAAGTTGTTGTCATTTGATTTCTTGGTGATGGCCATTCTTCATAGGGTGAGATGAGATCTCAGTGTTGTTTCCATCTGCATTTCTCTAATGGTCAGTTGATGTTGAACATTTCTTCACATGTTAATTGGCCATTTATACTATTTCTGTGAAGTGTAGATATTTTGCTTGCCCATTTTTGACTGGGTTTTTCATTTTAGAGGTCCAATTTTTCTTTTAGCTTTCTTTATATTCTACATGTGAGTCCTTAGGAAGTAAAAAATTTATACAGTGAAAATTATGGTACTCTGAGAAAGGAGATTGAATAGGATTTGAGAAAATGGAAAGATAGTCCATGCTCCTAGGTAAGAAGAATCAACATTGTGAAAATGGCCATACTCCCAAAATTGTTATATACATGATTCAATGCAATCCCAATTAAAATACTATTAGAATACATCACAGAGTTAGAGAAAACTTTCCTAAAATTCATTTGGAACATGAAGAGATCCAGAATATCAAAAGCAATCCTGGGAAACAAAGGAAAGGCAGGAGGCACTGAAATCCCTGGCCTGAAATTATAGTATAAAGCTACTAACCTGAGGATCAGTGGAACAGATTAGAAGATGCATACACAATTGCAAACACATTGAGACACCTTATCTTTGATAAAGGGGCCAAACATGTTCACTGGAAGAAAGATAGCCTCCTTAATAAATGATGCTGGAAAAACTGGCTTTCCACATGCTGACGGTTAAAATTAGACCTATGTCTATCACCATGCACAAAACTATAGTCAAAACAGATCACATATTTAAATATTGAAACAGAAACTCTAAATATTCTGGAGGAAAATGTAGGCATAAATCTTAAAGACAGGGGTAGGTAGAGAGTTCATGAACAAAAACCAAACTGCATGGGTACTACTTCAAAGAATCAACAACTGAGATCTCATTTTTTTTGGAAAAGTTTCTGCTATTCAAAGGAAATCTCCAACAGAGTAAAAAGAGAACCCACAAACTGGGAAAAAATATAGTCAACTGTTCCTCTGACAAATGCCTTCTATGTAGAACACAGTGCTTACAACTAAAAACGATCAGGTCCCCAAATTCAAAGATAGAATTCAAAAATGGGCATCTACGATGAATATATACTTTTCAGATGAAGAAACACAAATGACAAATAAATATATGAAAAAATGTTCAACATCATTGGTCATTTAAAAATGCAAATTTAAAAAAAAAAAACACTGAGATTCCATCTCATCCCAGAAAAAATAGCTACCATCAAGAAGTCAGCCAATAGCAAATGCTGGAGAGGGTGTGGGGACAAAGGAACTCTTCCATTGTCGGTGGGAGTGAAGACTGGTATAACTGATGTGGAAATCAATGTGGAGATTCCTTAAAAACCTAGGATTGGAGGTCCCATTCAAGCCAGCTATTTCTCCTCCTGGGTAATTTTTTCTAGGAGAACTGAAAAAAATCTTACCATAGCAATGTATGTGTACCCATGTTTATAGCAGAGCAATTTGTCACAGTTAAATCTTGGAAGCAACCCAAATGCCCATCAACTGAACAATGGATAAAAAAGATGTAGTATTTTTACACAATTGGGGTGTTATTCAGCTATAAAACAGGATAAATTTGAGGTTTTATTGGTAAATGGATACAACTAGAGACTGTACTTGTAAGTGAAATAAATCAGACCCACATGTGCAAACATTGTATTGTCTCCTTAGTGTGAAAACCTGAAAGAGAAAATAAAATATGAAGGGTGCAATAGATACTGGGAAAAGGTGATGAACTTGTTCAAAGGGAAGGAAGTACTGAGTTGAGGGGAGGGACAGGAGAGATAGTTGTAGGAGTCACTTCCAGGTGCTCGTTTCACTCCTGGAAGTTAATATTTGTAATTCCAAAGTTATGTTATCGGAATCCCATCAAGTTAATTCCAATCTACCACTTTCAATGCAACCCACTGTGAAAATAAAGACACTAAAATATATTTTCAATCATTGGGGAGCCAAGGGGCTCTAAGTCCAGCTATGAAGATGGCTTTCCAGAACAAAGAGAGCGACCCAGGGCCTCAACCGGTTTTATTCAGTGGAGGAGTGGCTTGAGTAGGATTGACTGAGAATTGTGGGAAGTAGGTGACTACTGTGAGCTGAGCTAGGTGGGTGGCCTACATGTACTTCTACCATATGCAGAGAGGATATGCAGAGAGAGTAATCTGCATTATACTATTATGCCACTGAGATAGTATCTAATGTTTTGGGAGATCTGGTGCTTCAGCTTTGATGTAGTCTTTCAAGCCCCAGGAAGTAATAGCCTCTATATCGAGGCTCAATCCCAGCTGGTGGCATGAAGCATTAGCTCTTCGTCCTGTCTTGACCCAACTCACATTAAAGAGCAGCAGGCATAGGGTACCAGGGAAACACACCTGCCAACTTCAAATACAATCACCAACACCTCAGCTAGACCAATATATATTGCTTAAGGCCAATTGAAGGATAAATAGAAATCCTAGCCAGCTGTCAATATGAGGAAATAGGGTTAAGCTCAGTCAAAATGGAGACAGTTGTTTTTCTTTCAAGGAGAGCTACTCAGGTGGTCATCCACAGGTAGTGAGGGAAAGAGATATATTATGTATGTGAGCAGGGTGGTTTGTACAACTGTACTGTGAATTTATGCTGGTTTTTGGAAAGGAGCGGTTTATGCTTAATTTGTTTTCTCTCTCTTTTTTTTCAATTCTTTGTCCATTTTTCTCTTCTTAGTTTCTTATATATTTCTTTCTTTCTTCTTCCAATTTTACCTACATATATCTGGTAATATGAACAACTAGTTGGAAGAGAACCCTATGCATTACAACAAAAACTGTAAAATTCATATTTTTTTGTTAAGTGAAATTCTGTTATCACTTGTAGTTTTTCTGTTTTAATACTATCTTGTCTTCTCTTTAAAAATAATAAAATTATAAAAAGAAATATGTGAAAATGACAATCAGAATGTTTTGCACTTGATATTAATAAATATATTAGTTTTGGTAAATTTTTTTAAAAAAGAGTCCTTTATCTGAGGAATCACTGGCAGAATATTTTCCCATTCTTTACACTGTCCTTTCACTCTGTTGGTTGGTTTTTTTGTGTGCAGAAACTTAATTTGATATGACTCCATTGAATAAGGATACTCTTGATCTTTAAACTGTTTCTCTAGAAAAACAGTTCTGGAGTTGAAATCCCTCCTCTAAGGGAGTTTAAAGACCTTGAACAAGTGTGCCCTTCTCTCTGGAAAACAAGAAGCAGGGAGTGTCTAATTGATGAGGAGCAACCTATCAAAGGCCCCTTTCCCCAGGGTTAGTACTGTAGGTGCCAGCAGCTAGTCCCACTGATGAACTCGGGGACTTGGTGTTCCCCAGCAGAGTAATGTAGCTGGCTTGTCTCCAGAGTATCGCAGGCTGGTCTCCTGGAGGGTTTTGCCTGGGTGGCTAAAGTTAAGAGGCTAGCATTGCTGAGAGGCAGTGCCTAGTTTTGACACCACCAACCAGGCCAGCGCTTCCTAAAATGAGATTCTTAGGACTTCTGTCATTTTTGGTATCGCTCATTCTCCTGGGGCGTGTCCAGGAGCCTAGGCTGGTTGAGGGGCACTTTCTCAGTAAGTATTGGGAACACAGTGTTTGCAACTGAGAGAGAACTTAATGGGGGAGAAAGGAACAAAGAAGAGTTTCACTGCCTCCCCTTTCCTCAGTCTGGGACTTCGGGTGGGAGGGAGCAGGCATTTGCAATAGTTATTTTAGCCCTCTTCCTTCTGCTGAGACAGCCTTGGTGAACACAGGAACCTAAGTCTCTAGCAACTGACTTCTTACCACCATTCCAAGGAATTTTTCCTGGAGGTGCCTGGACCTAGAAGCTTATGAAAACAGACTTTGGGACCTGTATAGCCATAGGCATTTCACCTTATGGTCAGGCCACCCACAAGAAGTCCTTGACTTTGGGACATGAAGAATAGTCTCCAGAACCCTTGGAGTATGGAAATATGATTGTTCAGTACTTAGCAAAAATGAATACACTCTACAGAGCATTTTAAAGGAAGTGGTTGAATATGAGTGCTTAAGAGCTGTGCACCACAGTTCGCGTTTGAGCCCCACTCCTTAAAAAGCTGTGTGACCCTAGACAAGTTCCCATAACCTTCCTTGGTTCAGCCTCCTCTGTTTAGTATATGTGGATATTAAAAGAACTGAGCTATAGATGTGTAATGAGGATTAAGGAGAACTATCTGGGTGCATAGTAAATACTTTATCAGGATTAATCATTATTATTTTGCCCCAGGTAGTGTTTCAATCTTTGTTGCATTAGTGTTCAAAATGATCCTCTAAACAAATGAGGAAGCTTTAAGAGTGGATTTCTGCCATCCTGAGAATGGCACAGAATTCTAAAGCCCAGCCATCTGGTACCAGAAGTGGGGCTCTCCACCACCGTGAGCTACAGTGCCTCCTGGGGAAGCAGCAAAGCACAGCAATGCCTACTGAGCAGAATAGATCTAGAGAATAATCCTTCCTTGGGAAACTTGTATGTGAGAGGAGCAAGTGCCTGGTGTACTTAGGGATTAGACAGTGAAGAGTTAGAGGGGAGGGGATGTTACTAATGACACAAAACTCTGGAGCCCCCTATTACTACCTGCTGGGGACAGGTGGAGGAAAAATAAGCTTATCCAACTCTGCAGAGTCAGGGAAGGAAAAATTACTTCTTCAGGGTCTGAAGGAAGGATGTCTTCTTTTTCCTTAGGATCCTGTCCCAAAATGAGAGTAAAATGTGAAGTTGAAGAAAAGTACCAGTGCACAAGGCACAGACATTGCTCAGATAACATGAAGTGCTGCATGTTTGGCTGTGGAAAGAAATGCTTAGATCTAACAAAAGGTATCTAATGGATCCCCTTGGACTTTCCAATGCCTTCTGCTCCCTCCCCCTCTTGCCCTGCCATTGTCTGTTCCCTCTTCCTGGGTCACCAAGGTGGGGGTTTCTGATCATGAATCTCAATGTTTCTTCTTCTTCTTCTTCTTCTTCTTCTTCTTCTTCTTCTTCTTCTTCTTCTTCTTCTTCTTCTTCTTCTTCTTCTTCTTCTTCTTCTTCTGCATTTTAGGGAAAGGTCTACAGGGTGTTCAGGGTCTCACTACTAGATTGGACTCGTAGTGATCCACCTGTTTACAGTCTCCCAAGTGCTGGGATTACAGGCGCGTGCCATTGCTCCCAGTCTCAATTGCCATCTCAGCGCACCCTGGGGGTGGGGCTGGCTCAGCAGGCCTAGGGATGGAACCCCAGTCCCTGCTCCTGCTTGCCGACATTTTAACCTGCTGAGCTATTTGGTCTCAATGTATCTTCTACTTGATACAAATCCTGCTTGGGCAGGACTTGGAGAAATCTAGTATTCCATTTTTGCCCCTATATGCTGTGAGAAATATAGTTGTACATGATGTATGTGATGGGAGCAATTTATTTTCTTCTATCTTGGAGCTCAGTTTCCCCTTCTAGAAGATAAAAATGGATACCAGACCTCATGGTCTCTTGATGACTTCTTTTTTTT